CTTTTCGTTTCCATTGCCTGAAGGCAGCCTGCTGTAGGACCATCTGCCCCAAGCTCAGGAGTTTGGATGAAAAGCTTGCATCTGGACCTTATTTGTGGTCTTGACTCCTGATTTAAGGGAAGTTCAGTGTAGCTAGCAAGCACTGGGCTCCATCCAGAGGMAAATTCCTGCCCAAGAGAGACAATGCTATTCCAACCTGGTAGCAGATCATCAAGAGGCTGTTTTGCACATTAACCACTAATTCTCCTTGCTGGATGCAAGAGAAACAGAAAACTCAGAAGGACCAATTAAGGATCCATGGAAACATAATGATGTGCTCATTCAGGACAGTTCTTAGTGCACAAACTAATTCACAGGCACGCAGACACAACATGGACCATAAACAAAAAGTTTATGGTTGCAAAACAGTCTTCAGGCATACTCTGAGATAGATTGTGAATTCCATTCTTTATCATTCTGGCTGATAAAAACAGAAAAACAGCTTTTAGGTGATATGTGTTACATAAAGCCATCGGTGGTCATGCTGCTCATGCCATGAGAAAGGCACAAAGCTCTGTCCACACGCTACACAGCAAGAATTTTTTATGGAAGAAAAGGGGAGAAAATAAAGCAATTCCAAAATCCTACCCCAGCTTCTTCCTGCAAATAGTTTACACAGTTCTGCAGGAAAAGTGCAGGCCAGAAGAAGCAGTAGATTCCAACAACAGTACCTTTCCTGGAAGATGCTATGCAGAATCACAAAGATTAGATGCCATTGGTTGCTGTCCTAGAAGCTTTCTCCTTTCTTTGTGCTTTTGATAAATCATTTATTAGAACAGCGTTTTTATATAATCCCTGGGGGGGGGAGAGAAAAAGAAAAAAACCACCAACATACCCCCATAAAGTAGATTTATCACAAAATGCTGTCCTCCCTCCAACCACATTCAGACCAGAACGTATCTTTCTMTGATTATTAATTAACTGATGCACAGAAAGAGCTTCAAGCTTTTTAACCTCTCTCTTTTTTGTCCTTCAAGCGTGAACATGACAATGCAGGAGTGGTGTTCAAAACATAGATAACAACTGTATTATTGCCATCATGCTTTGAGGCCATGGGCTCAAACATTAAAGCCAGTTAGGAAACAAGTATTTATGTTATTTTCCRAGTACATACATTCTGTTCCTAGTCATACATGTTTAAATCTGTTATAGCTCCATTAACCCTGCTCACATAGACAAGGAGAAACAAAGATGGTTAACTGCCAATACTGCATGTAACAGCAAAAAAAAGTCAAATCTGCCAGTAGGTATTTGACCTGAGAAAGGAATATGCTATTGTTAGCCCAACATGCCTATCTATCTGCTTGTCCCTTAACCACTGTAACAGCTCAAATCTCAGGATAAGCCATAGCTTTTCTTCTCTTTGGAGTTCATCCAAATACCTTCAACAGTATGAAACACAACTACACATAAATAACAGGAAAGGGGGAGAGTTGAATGCGCCAGCAACTTCTGAGAGTATCAAGGCYCCTATAAACTAAAACAGTGAAATAAAGCTGGAGTAATTAGATGCTCTGACCCTGGAATGTGCTCACAAAGAAAATACAGTTATTGGCATTTGCCATTCTCCTTCCCTTCCTCTAGCTCTACAACTCCTGTTCCTCTACCCTCAGCATCCAGCCAGTGGAGATTTTTATAGTGCATCTGTGAGTAGCAGAACAACTAAGAAAAAAAACTGGTCCAAATCTATAGGCAACTAATACCAAAATCAGAGTACAAGTCCCAGCTTCATTATCTGGTCTAAATGAAATATAGTGAGCAAATGCACTTCTGATCTCTCTTATTAGTCCCATTTGTTAAAATGCTGTATTATTTACAGCTTTGCACAGAATGAGGAAATGGGCTTAGAATTCCATCTCAAAAGCAAAGTGATGATAAAAACTGGAATAGCTTTGTAAGCTTATCTCACAGCAAGATTCTTGCAGAGGTACAACTATATTAGCAGCCCAGCACCAGGGCTTATCATCTCTTGATGGCCTAATCTGGGCAAAAGTAGAGAAATAATAACATTCTGTCATAGAGGGAAGCATTTCTGGAGAGGTTTGGTTCAGCAGTTAACATGACTTTGGGGAGAGACTCACCCAGACTCACTAGATAGAACACATCTTACCTTGAGATGCTGCTCCTAATTATTGAAYCAGGTAAATCCCTCAATAGCAGTGCCTTGATTTAGGCTGGGTGCCTGCCTTCCCTGCAGCCAGCACTGGTCTTTGGCCAGGGATTCGGCTGAGCACAGCTAAAGGTGCCCTGACTGAAGAGAGAAATCCTGTCCTGCACTCTRTTGACTGTATTGTCTGGACCTTCACTCATAACTGTAGGGTCCTACAAACAGATAAAYGTCCAGGCACAATCAAAATGTCCACGTTTAGTCAGTAGGAGGGACATCCCAACAGGACCTGTTGCAAGAGTAGGAATCAAAGTTCCCAGGCCAGGTAGGTTCTCTAAAGGCATAAACTGAGCAACCACCCAGCTGCAGCTACCTCAGCTTTGATATTGGATCGCTGTGTGTGTATTAGTAAAGTAAACAGACCTGGCACTTCTGCCTAGCACTGGGGACAGCTGGCACACAATGGCCAACACCCAAATTATTRAATTCTCTCCCTTTCCAGAACATCATGGCCTCATCCAAGTCAACTACTGAAAACAGCCTCTCTTTTGTGCTAATGCTCAGACTTAGTCCAGGAATTGTTTGGTGTTAAACACAAGTTTTAAAAAAACTTAGCAGTATAGATTATTTGGTTCCAGTTTCTCTGAACTTCCCTGGCATGGTTTAGTCTGTTGTTTTAGATGTTACTTATGGGTGTTTGCCAGGAATATTGGCAATCCAGATGYGATTTTAAAAAATAAATGGGTTTCACTACATCCTATATTCAAAGATGTGAGGTATATAGGCAATATACTTAAGGTTGAAGTTCAAGTAAGGTATCCCCAAGGGAGTTTCCAAAATTGTTTCAAGTCTGAATGTAGATGGGTGAAACCGGGGGGTGTTTAGTTTATTCCTTTGCTGAAATTGAATGATAGGGCTTTGTTGATAGATTATTCAAGTAGTCAAATGTAAACTGGTAACATCACCAGRCACTCACTGGCTAATAAGTGATGGCAAGAGCAGATCCATTGCTGTTGAATAATACCACAGCTCATTACTCACTATAGCTCTCCAGTCTTCTCCCCAGAAATTGATGATTGCTCTAGGGCTTGACAGTACTTTTTGTCTGTTCATCTTCAGAGCTGCAGTGCTAGTACCTCCTCATCCAGGTGGTTGGCAGGAAAACTGCATGGACAGCCAGTTTACTCAGAGCCTTGGCTTTAAAAGGGGAGGACAAAGAGAGTTTCCTGTTTATTTCACAAGCCTCCCTTTTAAACCCCCATGTGCCATACTCAGTAAACCTGCTGTCTCACTTTGAGGCTAAAACCATAGGTTTTATGGCCTGTCATGAAGTTGCATTATTAGCCTAGGTCAGGGACCACAGCGTTAGGAGTGAGAAGATGCCTTTGCATGCACAACTGTGTCTTTTTCAGATGCAAGGTACCCTGTGTCACCTGTGAGACTCAATTCCCAGGAGGAACTAGACCAGGGAGCAGGGGCTGCTTATTGCATCTGCAGTATGCCATCCTGGTGCTGCTGTCAGGAGCAGGTGCACACCTGGCAGCAAACAACCAGCTTTAGCTTTTGGAGAGGCTCACACAAACCCATCCCTTCATTTCAGCCTGTCTGTTGAGCAACACTGGCCCCCAGGATTGATTTGTGCTGCCAGAGCCTTGCAGGGGTGGGTAAACAGATGGCTTTGTCTGGAGAGCAGGCTGGTCCAGGCTAGTCTCACCCAAGGTTTGTGCTCAGAAATGCTGTTGGCACAYAGGGACATTTCTGGCAAAAGCAGGAGAGGCAATGCTTGTATAATGTGATGGCCCCCTGCCCCACTAATATCCCAGAGCCATGGCTGCTCCAGCTACAGCCATATAGAGTCTGGGCAGATGAGGCCTTTTTTGGATCTAACATTAAAAAAAAAAAAAAAAAAAAAAAAAAAAAAAAAAAAAAAAAAAAAAAAAAAAAAAAACAGGGAAAAAAAAAAGTCAGCCCACACCAAAAACCATTCCTGAAGCTGAATGCATTGGATGCATTTCATCCTGTGTGGTTCTGACCTATACTATTTCATCAGACTGTTAGAAAGCAAATTGAGACAAAGAATGTCTTAGTTGACCTGTAGATACAGTATTCAGTCACTATGGTTGTTTCTAGTGCCGGGTGTGCTCCATGGTTGATTGGAAAATTTGCTGGCAAAGTATGAAATTCCATAGGGAAACCATGTTAGTGTTCATCTTTCAACTGCGGAATCAACATGGAGCCTGCAGAAAGTGCCAGTGATTAAAGCTCTTTATATTGCTTGGCTGGCCAACAATCAAACTATTCATGCCACTTATTACGATAATGGAGAATTCATTAAATTCACATTTTACTTGCATTGCCATAACAAGGAAGTACCAAGTAGGCATMTCAGGTTCCCCTCAGCATCAGTACTGGAAGGCAAAGAAAATGTTATGCTGGCAGGTTAAGGGAGGTCCAGAGGTTCACCCCAGTCACGATGGAGAGAAATAGAGAGAGACAGAGTGCCTTGAGACCATGCATTAAATCTGCTGACTCCCAGCTCGAAGGTGACCCCGATCTCRTGGCACCAACATTTGGACACCTGTGCTCCACACAGTCTAGTGTTCAGACTGGCACTCAGACCAGGCAGCGTGTCCCGGGACACTGATCTGTAACAACCCCTCCTATCCTTTGTCCCACATTGGCAACCATCCTGTCCTCACTCTCCTGCCCACCTGCCCACCCTCCTACCTGCTCACTTCCCCCCTCTCAGTGCCCTCACCCCCTTCCCCATGTTCATTCTCAGTGGTCGTTGCATGTACGTGCCGTGGCACCCTTCAGCTCATTAAGTCCCCTGCCTTGCCTCATGTTTTGACAGGTTTTGTGAGTTTTGACAATCCTGCCAGTGCCCAAGCTGCTATCCAGGCCATGAATGGATTCCAGATTGGCATGAAGAGGCTGAAGGTGCAGCTGAAGAGGCCAAAGGATGCTAATCGCCCCTACTGAAGGGTTTTGGGAACCACTGGATACAAAGCACTAGCACAGGTAACTGCATGGGGAAGGGGGTGTCAGCTGCAACTGTAGCGTCTCTCTGTCTTGTAGACCCTCAAGAAGATTCAGCTCTGTGACTCTCTATCTTCTGCCTTTTTGACTCTGGCTAGAGCCACTCTGCTCAGACACGCACCCACACATAACCTAGGAGCTGTCTGTGTGTGTGTCTCTCTAGAAAAAGAGGTGGAAGGATGCTTACCAAGGGATAAGCCAAGTTCCTCATCCCAGGGGCATCCTGCATCTCTAGAAAGTGTTTCTGGTCACTAGAGGAGAGTCAGCAGCTGTCCTGATTCCCCTTGCTCAGTGAAAGACAGCGTTTCTGGTGCCTGAAGAAAATCTGCAGCCAAGAGGTGGGACTGGGCTGCAGTTTAATCCCAGGTGACTGGACTGGGACAGTGTCTGTCTCAATAGCTCTGTGTTGCAAACGTTTCAAAGCATTTTTCATTCTTCATGCGGTACAGTCTGTATCCAGTTCCATCCCAGCATAACAACTTAATGTAAATATGTCACCCTGGCAACCAAATAAACCCTAATTTATTGCTTCACAAACTCAATAAATTAATAGAAGGATCCATGTTCACTTCTTGGTCAGTTGTTTTAAACTCCCATGCGTAGATAAAACCCAGACAAAGCCAAGGAAGTTTAGTTGGGGTGAAGACGTGGGGTCTCGTTTTTAGGCTCATGTGCCATGYATTGCTGGAAAGAAGCCAGCTGGATGTTCCAAGGGAAATTCTAATACATGCAACAACACCAAAAAAATCAGAAGCAGCAGCTTGTTTCATTGGAATCCCAACGTATCATAAATAACAAAAATGGAGATGTTTTCCAGAAACAGAAATATTTTCCATTACTGGCTGGCTCTTCCATTAGGTAGCTCTTTGAGAAACAGAAATATAAACCCTATGTGTTTGTTTACAGATACAGGAAGTCTCCCTATTGTTAAAACTGTTCCACAGCAGAGATTCCCCAATAAACTCAGCACCTCGGGAGGCCCTAAGCAATTTGTACTCYCGAATTAGTGATAAAGCGATTGGTTACGTGATCTTTCTAGGCCATTTTAGCAGTAAGATCCTGTGAATTTTACTCAGGCTTCTTTTGACTCATCTAAGACAGGTAGGAATTCCCTATCTTTAACTTTCCCAAAGAAGAATGGAGTGTTTTAATTTTCGCTGGTATCCCAAATATCTTTGAATAATGTATTTTTCCAGTCTTCAGAGCAGTATCCCTTCCAGTGAGAATTAAGGAATGGGATCAAAATGTCTTTGAAAGAGGTGCTGCACTGMAGACAACTTAAAGGAGATTAAGAAACCCTTCAATAAACTTATTAGGTGCACGTGCAAGAAACAGTTTCCATAGTTTAGAATCTCCTTTATATGTGACTATATGAAGATAACTGTCAATGCGTTTCCCCCTTCAAATACCTCTTTTCTTTTCCTTGCTTATGAAAAGGCCTCTTGGAAGCTTGAAACCAAAATATGTTGCCATATTCAAATGCTTTTTGCTTCATCACACTGGCTTTTTTCTGCAGGCTTTGCTGGGGAGAGCGGGGTGTGCATGCATGTGATTGTGTTCAAGCAGGGGCTGCCTTTGTCAGAGAGGTTAGGTTTTCCATGACAACCTGCAAAGGGACTGAGGAACACAAAGGTCTCCCTAGTTATTTATCCCAAGATTTATGGCTTAGCATAGCTGTGCTCACTGAGGATATGCTTGTTTCTCATGGGGGTGAAAGAAGATGCAGGGCTGTGGATATCTGTGCTGTTAAAGATTCACCAGGATGAGTCTACGGTGGTTTTTATTACCATGGTTCATCAYGAAGTGCTCTGAAGTCTCAGCTTGTTTCCTACAAAAAGGTTACTCCCTAGTAGAACAGAGATTTGTTGTTTGGGTGGGTATTTTCCCCAGTAAATCATAAAAAAATAAATCAGCAGGTAAAATGGTAATAAAATTCCATATGTCTGTCCTAGAGCATTTTTTTTTCCTTTCCTTTGCTTCTACTAAGCAGAACAGTCTTGAAGTGTTGCCTCTAGATAGGAGGTCCCTTAKCCTTCCTGGCTTTTACTTTGGCTCTAGTGCTCTGCTGTCCAGRAAAATCGTTGATACCACCATATCACTTCCACTCTCAGCTTAGAGGGGTCTTCTTTAGAGACCCTATCAAAATCTGTCTCAGAAGTCCTCATTGTTGTTCATGCTCACACCTTGCTGGGCCCACTGCAGGAGCTGTACCTGGCTCTGAGCAGGAAGGAGTTCTCCAGGAAGAAGGCTTTAGACATGTGGTTTTCCCATCTAAGAGGAGGAATTGCCCAAGTGCACGTGGCCCCAGAAGGACACTGCAGGAACATTCCTCAGGGCAGGATTCGGGTTAGCACAGGGAGGTCCATGCTGCCATAGACTGGAGAGGACACTTGGTGACAGCAAGGATGCCCAGGAGGTCAGAAGGGCTTAAACTCCCATCTTTCTTCAGCCTCCCAGTGCTTGGGAACGTTGATATCAGAACCCCAGGAACAGGCAGGATTCTTAGTTATGATGCCACAATCTTACCAGGGTTGGGCAATAGTGGTCAGCACAGGGCTGAGCCATCAGGAACGGGCCTGATTCAGAGATAGGTCAGCTGTTCTGGCCTCAGCATGGCATTTTTGCACCTCCACAACTGACTTGATTTGCAACTCCCTTTAATTGCTAGAAACACAATAATTCCACTGCATTTTTATCTGTCTGTACTTTGGATGCAGCTCTYTGGTGTTTTTAATTCTGATTTGAAGCATGTGAGTAACCATATTGACATCAGGGTAATTACTCGTGCTTCAAGAGGATGCTTAAGAAACTTTTTAATTGGGATTTTTCCAAGGAAAGGCTTTTTTCTATTGAACTGCTTTCAAAAAATAAGAAGTTGCCAACAATGACAACAACAACAGCAAAAAGCAGCACCCAGTTTGATATAATCCACCAGAGTGTTTTATTCCTAGCTGAGAAAGAAAGAGCTTCACTAAATTATAATTCTGGATTCACTTTAAAAAAAAAAAAAAAAACCACAACTTATAAATCTCCCATTTGGGACACAAGCAGTCTAGGCCACAGTGATTTGAAGTCCTTTGTTTTCTTTGCAAGTGCTCTAAACTTTGCTGYCAAACACTGAAAGGGTCTCTGATGTGGCAGATAAGCCCAAAGCTGCAGCAAGCAAAGCCCTAAGGAATTTAGATGGCAAAATGGCTGCCTCTGTTCTCCTTTTTCTTTATAATTAAAGTAGTAGTTGTAGGAAAAACAGAAAAAAAATAAGAAGGACAGAAGGATGGGCTAGGAGAAAGCAAAAGAGATGAGGAGAGGAGGATCATTTGAGGCCACTCTGCCAAAATCAATACATACTATTACCAATCCCCCTCAGGATGAGGAAGCAAGGATTCAGAGACACTCCATGTGTCTTTCAAATAGTAAATGCATAAAATAATTAAGAAAAAAACCAACCTGAAACTCACAGCTCCRTTAGATGGCCATTCCTAGGAGCCTTTCTATGCCATGTGCAGGTGCAGCAGTCAGTGCCTTGGGCACATGGGGGACTGCAGGGACAGGCAGGCACAGTGGGGCAGCTCTGCCTAGAAACCTACAGAGCTCTCAGCTCTTCCAGAGCTCAGGACAGAATGCAGAGCAGCCCAGGAACATCCCCATGACAGGTCAGTAAAGCACACTGCACACAGGACCTCTGGGAATCCTGTCCATTCCCCTTCCGTGGCTTCACTGCGGTGATTGGTCATTGGCAAAGTGATGTTTTTCACCTCAGACAGACACTCTGCTGCTGAAGCTTTACCTAAAGATAAAGAGACATTTGGGTGAGACTAATCCAGAGCAGTGACTGGCATGAGACCGGGTGAGACGAAGTGAGTGTGAGTGAGRCAAACTGAGCGAGGCAAAAGGGAAACAGAAGATTGGGGAAAAAAASAGAAAAAAGATCAACAGCAACATTTTCTTAGATGTCTCCGGAGCAGTGACAAAACACTAAATGAATGCACTGTGCAGACAACCTGTTTCTCCAAAATACCAGGAGAAATARCATAGACCAAAGCTCAAATAGAAAAGAAAAAAAAAAATTCAGGTCCTTCTTCACAGCTTCTTGAACATGGGTCGATGTATGGTTTATTGTAAAATGTGTGAAATGCATGTTTTTGTAGCTGTCTGGAATAGGTGGTATTTTTACTTGGAGGAAGAGTCTTTTTTTTTAATTGGAATGTCTCATTTACCAAACTGGAACACTTTGCATCTTTCTCTTTTTGTTCCCCTAACAAGAGAAAAAAACAAAAAGAACCCAAACTTCTTTTTAAAGTAAGCCTATATTATCAGCCAAAAATAAAACAAACAAGCAAAATTCCAAATAGCCATAAACAAAAAGATGTGAGTGGAAAATTTCTGGCCTCTCCTGTCATTTCAGAGAGCTTCAATGCAAAGTCTAGTGAATGTGTATTTTTTACTGAAAATTTTGTTGCTTATACCTCTCAGATAGCTTTCTATTACCTCTAGTGAGAGGCTATTCTGCRGTTGCATTGATCTCACTGTTTTCTATTAGGCTGTTCATCTTGAGATTCATGCCAAATATCCTTTTTCAAGATAAAATCCCATTTCTTGTGGTTATGCCTCCTACAATCAMGCTAACCAGCTTCTCTTCCACCTGCACAGATTATTGTTGTTTCCCTCTTTTAGTCATCACTTAGATCGTTTAGGACTTGCTTACATTATGGAAATTTGCAGTAGTATAATTGCATCAAAACAGTACTCCAGCACAAGCTTTAATATGAGCGAATAAAGAGAGAAAAAAATCAGCACAGCTTAATTTTGGAAAGTCTGTTTAGGTACTGGAAAAACATCACCTCAGCCAATATTTTTTTTCTGTTCTTTGGATTACTTTTGTTTTTCATTTTCACTGACACCTGTGATTAAATTAAGTGTCCCTGACTGTGTTTGCAACCCAAGCTTTGTGCTGATGTGCTCGTACTGAGAGAATGAAAGCG